TTCAGCTATACAATCTCAATATGGGTACACAATCTCCTACAGGAAAGCATAGAAGGCAAAGCGGAATGCCATTATAAAACTTCACGGCGAGTGAGATTTATCTTACAATGAACTACCAAGTAGGTTTTAGGGTAGTGCGTAAACTGAATCATGGGATAAAGTGGAATGCGAAACTTGCCATACATACCACAATGTCGAGTTCTTCGCGACCGATGTCAATTATACCAACTTTTTTGGACGTACCCACAATGCATTAATGTTGTGAAACATTGAAAGCTCATGGTTCAATTTGATGGAACATTCCTGTATGGAAAATATAAACAAGTTTTATTATTGGAAATTGTCCAATATGACAATCGTAACATTCTTCCAGTTGTTTTTGCCCTTGTTGAATGAGAATATACATATTTTTGGGTTTTTTTCACAAAAACTTACGCTTGCATGTTGTCACGAGAGAAAAAAATTGTGTCATTTCATATCGCAGAGCTGAGATCAAAGCAGTAATAGATTATTTGGGTCCAATAATTAAATAAAAACATTAATAAACAAAATAAATAAAAATTCCATAATTAAATAAAAACATTAAGAAACAAAATAAATAAAAACAAGTTTATCGATGTTTGTGTTTTGAATGTGTTTTATAGGACGGTGGCTGCCTATTTCGATGAGGATTTCTTCATATAAGTTGTTATTCCTTATCACTCGCATCATCAATAGAAGCTACATTTTATTGATGAGGGACGGATGAAGATGTAACACATCTATAGAATAAGAACCTTAAATGTATATGACTAATCATCTCACCGCTCATCAAAACTGCAAAAACATTGACATCGATGAATGAGAAAACTGAGTCGGAGTTATCCGTGGCTCTGGTGAAGCATCACCTATCAAACAAGTAGCATATGAAGACCACGATGGATCTATAAGCATAGGAGTATATCCACCAGGAGGTGTCATAAAGCCCTGCGGTGGTGGCATCTGAAATGGTTACTGTGTCATCGAAAATGGCTATGGTGCCATCTGAAATAGTTTTGGTGGTATCTACTGTAAAATATAAATTGGTAACTGATATGATGATTCTGATGCTACAAGGACGAGCTGAAAGTGTATATTCTTTGTCCACGTTATTTCATCAAATTCTTTTGTTGACTTACTTGAAAAATCTGCCCGCGTTAGACGTATCTCGTGTGTTAAAAGATACGAAGATTTAACACCCTGTTTGTATGATGCGAGAACATCCTATATGGACGATTTAAATATTATCCTTTCAAATAATTTATGAAAAACCTTATTTATTTAAATAGTTATTTCTTTGATATTTCTAATATAAAATTGCCTTAGAGTTTCATATCGAGGAGATACAAGTAAAATAACTAAACCAAATACCAATAAAGAAGCAAAGAAGCTGAAGTCATCATTTAGTACTCAGAGAAGTGATGAGGCATAGGGATAGGAGTGTGCAGTGCCAAAGTTTGGTTAAATAGGGTTTCATTTCTCATAGACTGATCTGTGATTAATTGATTATCCATAACATAGAAAAGAGGGGATACAAGGGAGAGAGTTGGCTTCCCTATGTCTTTAAACGGTCAGTAAGCATTTCTGAAACACAGAGAGAGCTCTAAAAGGATAAAAAAATGAGTCATTGTCAAGAAATTAATTCTACATTTTGTAATTATAGGTTTGTCTTTGGAATGTCTAAGATACAACAATTTTAATATACAATTAAAGAAAGTTGTTACCTACAATATTATTTTAACATTTTTGGTGAAGTAATATTTAAAATATTATTTTTTTACTTGAAATATTAATATTGGGTACTGTCTAAAATGTTTAATATTTTTTGTAAAGTGTTATTTAAAATATTATTATTTTTTATCGAAAATATTAATATTGGGTGGTACTTAAAATATTATTTTTTCACCGGAAATTAGGTAGCAAAATTAATATTTTCGATAAAAAAATAATGTTTTAAGTAGCGCTTTATCGAAAATATTAAAAAAATATTAACATTTTCGGTAGGACTTTACTTTCACTGTATATTAAGGTTACCGTACATCAAAACTACCATTTGTTTTCCCTTCTCTTTCTTGTAGCTTATTTACTAATTATTTTTAGGATAAACTATATTGATAGTCTATTTTGTTATAAGTCTAAGTAATTTTGGTCACGAAAAAATTTAAGGTGAAATGGTCACTAACGCCATTGTTCCTTTTGATTTATGTCATTATCTTTATCGGTTCGTCCGATTTCAATTCCTAATGTTATCAATATGTTCGATTTTAATCACTTAATCATGTTAATGACTTCAACAAAAAGGACTTAAAAGAAAAAGGAGTTAAATAAAATTAATAGCATAAAGACTTAAATAGAATAGATCGAGAACTTAAATTATTTTTCCTTTTTATTTTTTAAGTGATTAAAGTCCATCAAACCGAAAAGAAAATTAACAATCGGCATAATTTACCCTTATTTTTACAAGTAGGCTGAGGTGGGGGATAAGGGGAAAGGCATGGGGCTTGATTGTATGAGATATTGTTTCATTGATCGAGGAAGAGAGGACACAGCTTTACTAAACATAAGGGGAATTGTCTGTACCTGGAGAGTCGTTTATGAATAGTTACATAACCTCGTTGCTACAGTGTTTAGACTCTATATTCTCTCTCTCCCTTGGTGAACAATTGATTGTACCTTTCCACGTGCGTAGACCCTTTCGTGCTGTTCCAAACAAACAAAGCAGGCCCAACGGTTCCATGGTCCTGTTTGACACCGTACAATAAAAGGCTTGCTTGTGTGTAGTGTGTCCCCACAGGCTTCCTTGTTTAGATTTCAGGCCCGGCATATTGACAGTGACAAGGAAATGACACTATGTTATAGCATCCTTTGTAAAAATAAAACCAAAGACGTGTCCTATTGTCTGTTTGTTTTAAAAAACGATAAAACGAGTCCTTTGTAAAAATAAAACCAAAGACGTGTCCTATTGTCTGTTTGTTTTAAAAAACGAGTCTATATTCGAGTTCAAACTTAAGTCAAATTCGGTGTCGTGACACTTCATTGATGGCATTTGGCCGAGTGTAGCTAAGGTTCAGTATTTTAATCCTTGGGAAATGACATAAAAGAATAGTGCCTTAATTACCACTGGGGTCCTTAAGGCTGAGGCTGAGATATGCTTTAAGTGTTGTACCATAGGGACTGTTTAGTCTTCACATTCACATATCAACCTTGGTGAAAAGAAAGCAAAGATAAGAACTAAATGCATTCATACATTTGTTTGCTTATGACAGTTCCCGCCGTGAAGGCAACAACGATTTCTGAGTATGTGTGTGTGCTCTGTTTCCCCGTGGCCGTCCATGGCTGAAAATATAGAAAGATTCTCCTGACACGCAAAAACAAAAGCAGCAGTAGGGAAAATATACTCTAGGCCCAATGAAAGAGATGACAAAAGTTTTCATGGGTGCCAACAAATCTATTGTTACAGTTTGTTAGAAGATGGGTGAAGAATTATGAACAAATTGAGAAAGAATGCATTGTTTGATTACAAAGCAATAAGGTTGATTTATACACAGTTCAGCAGCACATAAGTGCTCTTAACAAGCTAACTGCTCGTTTAACAAACTAACTACCATTTAGTAGCTTATGCTAACAGCTTATGCCAGCAAGGCAAGTCATGCAACACACGCTTCTTAATTCTGCTAATACAGTTGATCGGCACAGTTACAACAGAAACAACAACAAAAACCAGCAGGGAGGGGGAAGAACACGACAAGGTTCATGCAAACACAGAATTCATGTGCCTTCAAAGCTGTCTTGTCATAATGTACTGCTAAATACTAGTCTCTGCAATCATCGTTTAGCTTGACGGAGAAATTCGAGCAACGTTTTCATGCATCAAAGCTTGTTTGTTTATCAATGATGCATGGTCGAACAACAGCTGAAAGAGAGAGGTTCTAAAATCAAAAGCTTTATAAGAGTACACGCACGGGTAATGAAATGAAAGGTATTACCAACTAAAAAATAAGAGATCATCAAAGAATGTTAGCTTTAAAAATCAACTGTCGACTCTTTCCTTGGTGTTTGCATAATCGGCCTTTTATCCTTGCTACTGACAACACCATATGGACCATAGTGGTTTCATTGTTACAAAGAATAACAATACACCTGGCTGTTCGTTTTCATGCAAATAAACAATGATCATCCATTGGAGGGGTAACGAAGATTTTAATCATTTACAAAAATCAATTGATATTTTCTATTTCTCAATAGAAAATCTTTTAAATAATACAATTAAAGTTTCAGTTGAAATTAGACGAAATCTATTCCGATGATTACTTAACATATTGACAATAAGTTAAACCTATATCTTTTAAAGATAATAACACTTCTCTTTATAACTGAGATTACTTAACAGGTTGAACACTATAATATTTCAATACACATTTAAAGCATTTTTTTATATGCGAGTCTTGTTTAATTAGGTCTCTTTTATAGAATTTGTCTCATAAAGTGCTTGATGAAATATTCAATTTTGATAAGATACTTTCCATGAAGTTCTTATATGTGAAACAAGTAAACTTCACGATACAAATTTGGTTATGTCAAACAAGTTTATTTAGAAAACAAAGCATTCTATCGTCAATGTATATGTTTCATAATAATCTCGTTAGATTTTGTTTTATTGAATAAAAATATATATTCAAATAAATAGATTTTATAATATATAAAGGGGTTAGAGTTGCTTTTATTATCTTAAAAATATAATCTCTCTATTTAATAAAAAAAACTAAAATCTCATTTAATCAAAATATACCTAACAAAATAATTTAAATCACAAAACTAACAAACCATACTATAGACATGCAAAAAGATGACACAATAACGTGGTGAAGAGTGAAGACGGTAGTAGTTTTGTCCAAACAAATGTGTAGTTGAAAGGTTTAAACCACGACCGCTTTTGCCGCTCACCCGGTCGTGTAAATGCAATCCTATTTCTATACCTCATCATTTTCACACCGCGCTAGTCTTTCTCCATCTATCTTCCCTTTCTCTCTTATCGTTCCCTTTTTCCCTCTCTATCTTTCTCTCCGTGCCCTTTGGTGTTCTCTTCTTTGGCTCAATAATCAACCTCTCCCCCTCCTTTAACACGTTTGGATTATGCACTTTCAACTCCTCGTTTGATTTTGCTCATTTGGGTATACGTCTTGTTTCATATACTTCTCCACCCTATCTTTTGATTGTTGCAAGGAAACCCAGAAAGCAAAAATGGAGAAAGATTTCATCTTGAAATTGGTCTTAAACTGGGTTTTATTTTTTTTCCTGTAGATATCTTGATAACCCCATTTCTAATTATGCCAAAGAAAGTGTTTTTATTGTGCTTTCAATACTGAAATTGTGTGTATCTGAAAATGCAGGATGGGAAGGGTTAAGCTAAAGATAAAGAAGCTAGAGAACACAAATGGCCGCCAGGCGACTTATGCCAAAAGGAAGCATGGGATAATGAAGAAAGCTAATGAGCTTTCTATCCTATGTGATGTAGAAATTACCCTCCTTATGTTCTCCCCAACTAACAAACCTTCCCTATGCATTGGGAAGCGCAGGTAGGCCATTCTTTGTTCTTCCTTTAGAAAGTAGTTTGCCATTTTTATTTTCAAATTTTAGGGGTTGCCCGTACTTTAGCTTTAAAGAGGATTGATTAAGCATTGAATTGAGCATTTGAGCTAGTATAGTGCATTTAGAGGAAGCACCATCACATCACTATTCAAATATATGTCATTGATATATGTTGATGCATTAGGGGGTTCTATTATGAGAATTTGATAACAAATGCCATTTTCAAAAGTGGCAAACAGGTTGTAGTTTCTCTTGTGTTGCATTTGGGAACTTGGAATTGTTGCTGTTATTGAGACGTGTTCATATGCACAAAATCACCTCTAAGTGATGTTATTAGTAGTGGATTTGAGAGTCACATGATAGGTGCAAATTGTGCTAAGGTATTCTATGAGACATTATCAAATGAAGGAAGCAATTGAGATCCATACTAGGTACCGATGTCAAGGAAATATTTTGATTTGGCTTTCATATATAATGCTAATACAAATTTGTGTCAAAGCAATTTGGTTTGTTAGATTTATGTAGAAGACTATTAACCCTCCGTAGCAACGTTCATATTTTTTATTTTGCGATGTGGATTCAACAGCATTGAGGAGATCATTGAAAAGTTTGCTCAACTAACTCCGCAGGAACAGGCCAAAAGGTGCTGTTAAATTTTTTGAGTTTGAAAAATAACGTTACTGATGTTCATTCTTTACCCACATTTTCTTTTCTGTTTTACTTGGAACAGGAAGTTGGAAAGCCTTGAAGTAAGTTCTTTCATACGGTTATCCATCCTTTATCAATGTTACCATCTTCCGTTTGTTTGTCTCGAACAAGTCATCACCCTTATCAGTTGCATCATTTGTTTTCTCTTTGAGAGATTAGGCACTGAAGAAAACTTTCAAGAAGTTGGACCATGATGTAAATATTCATGAATTTCTGGGTACAAGGTAGATAACAATCTTCTTCTCGTTGGCAAAATTGCTCCTAGTATTCTTTTTAAATATATTCTACAAGAGATTCTGATAGGCTTATGACCTTTCGTGTTCTTTTCTGCTTTCTTTTTTTCACAGTTCGCAAACAATAGAGGTATGTATGCATGATGAGCCATGAGCCATTACATTAACCTATGAGCATAATTTAAAATTGCTAGACCATGGTGTTTATTATTCTAAAAAGCTTTTTGTGTACCCGTGATGGCTATGGGCAGGACCTGACCAACCAAGCAAGGCTATTGCAGACCCGGCTTTCTGAAATACAGAGGAGACTGAGGTGAAGATCTACATAGTTTCTGATGTCATGTTTTAATTTGGCTTTTCGTTAGGGATAACCTTGAATGTACTATCGTGGTCTTGTGCTAACAATAATATTGGCTGCTCAGTTGTTGGACTGACATAGACAAGATCAACAATGTTGATCATTTGGGGCAAATGGAAGATTCACTGAAAGAATCTATAAATCAAATTCGAGCCCATAAGGTATGCCTATATCTTTTATGACAAGTGATAGAATGGTCCACCAGGGAGCATATGTTGTAGTTTGCTTAGTTAAACCGAGCCAAAGGGGTTTTAACTCGAGACTCCACCTTACCTACCTTCTTTGTGCAGGAAAATTTAGGAAAGCAGCAGCTTTTACCATTAGAATGCACAAGTCAGGTAAGAATGTGCGACGTGCTTGAAAAATTTTCCTGCTTGTGTTGCTCTTTGAAAGTCACTGGAACATAATATGTTAACCATCCTTTTTCTTGCAGTTCCAAAAGGAAATGCATGTACCCTTAAGAATGGGCATTGAGCAACAGCTCCAATCTCTTGCATTGATGCCTAACAATGACGGTAGACCCATAGCATTACCAGAGGACCCAAATTTGATACCCCATAGGCGAGTCGAGTTTCTAGAAATCTTAAAGTTGATGTTTAAGGTCTTCCATAATGTATTATGATGTTGATTTCTTAATTACCAGGGATGTGGAGTGTTCCGCAAGTTCCTCCTTTGGTAGTTATTCGGGTTACTTCAGCACTCCTAAAAGTTCTGAACTATCGAGTTCTGGACAAGACAACAGCATCCTTAACGATTTGCAACTAGGTGGACAATTCCCCTTCTCATACGATCTTAGCATACTGAATGATCGCAAATTCCCAACGGCGGCAGAGATGAACTTTCAGGAAGCTACTGTAGATTATCATGTGAATGGAGTTCTAGCAGGTCCGAGAGCCGGATACGATGCAAACCAAGGCAGTTGGGCTTCCACTTCTGGTCCTTGTGCCGTTACCATATTTGATGAGCCATTATATACCGGAGTAAGTATATTCACCGTCAGGGCCATGGCTGGGGCGGCGCAAACTGCGCAGGCCCCCAAAAAATGGGGCCCTAAAAAAATATATATATAGTGGTGTTTTTCCAATAAACGTCACTATAGATAGACCTATTGCGACGTTTTTTCAAAAAAACGCCACTATTATTGCGGCTTTATTGATAAAACGCCATTATAGATAGGTCTATCGTGGCGTTTGTTAAGAAAACGCCACTATTGTTGCCCCGAAATCGACTATATCTAGAAAATAGGGGCCCTTTTTAAGAATTTGTACAGGTCCCCAGAAAACCCTGCCACAGCCTTGTTCATCGTCGGTCCTACTATGCATTGTCTCTCTCTCAATTGAATATTTTATTCACATAATTCGTGTATTAATTGTCTTTTGCAGCAACTAAACTGAGATGCGATCATTCATCTCATCATCTAAGCAGGATATGGAAGAACTCGGTACAATGGTTTGATCGGCGAGCGAAAGCCGGTCCTCGGTGGATGAGATGTACAGCTCGACTGCACATCCTATGTCTTAATAGTGATGAACTGCCGACAACAATCAAACGAGGCACCACAATTTCTGTATACTAATATATATTTAGTAGTAGATTTTCTTTTAATCTTCCCATTTTGATTACTAGAGTTTACTAATGGCGATCACCGTCTTCTCCTCCTCAATGTCAAGCTTAAGCTGTAAATAAAACACATAGCGACAGACATTGATTGTAAATCAAAACCAACAAAAAAATGAAAACATGTTAAAGACAACAACAATATATGTAAATTTTTTTCCCAGGAAAAAGACTGCATGCTACTCTTTGCAATGCAATGGTCCTAATTGAAACAAGCCAACACAGGACAAGAAGCATAAATGTTTTCTTAAATAGTATCATAAACCGTATGGTATGGTTGGCCCATAAAATGGAAAGACACACTCGGACAAGGGAGAGTAACAGTAGGAAAACCAAACAGCAGTAGATACGGTCTGAAGAATAGGATAAAATAAAGCTATGAATTTTCACATGGCTTCACAGAATGCACCAGAGTTCACCTTTCAAATTTCAATCACCTTCAAAAGCTAGCTTCCTTCTTAGCTCTCTCGACCATATTGGGCTGCATGGCATGTTACTTTTTGTCATGTTAAATTCACAATATTATAATGTTCGAGATTTAATGAAAATAACTATAGAAAATATATATTTAATAATTTCTGGATTCTCTTTCTCGTGAGTCACGTTATGAAAAAGATTTGAACATTGGAAGCGAATCTCTAGTGAAAGAGGCCGTGACCTGAGGGACAATTGACAAAACAAACACCGATATGATATGTCATCCCTTTCCCCCGTCAAATTACAACACACAAACACTAATTTCTTCTGTTATTCGTAATTTTTGTTCTCGTATTACTACGGTTTAAACTCAAAATAGTCCTTAAACTATGTATTCCTATTTGAAGTTTTTAAGTTACTTTTTAATTAAAATAAAATTTAAAAATGATTATATATGATCATTTTAAGTACTTAAATTATTATTTTTATCAAAATAATTATTTATATTATATATAAATTTACTTTAAGTAATTATTTTTTTAAGTAAAGTATACAAATAATCACCTGACTATGGGCGATGTTTTATTAAGTCTTTTGACTATTAAAAATTATAAAATGATCCCTAACTATAGTATATTGCTATGTTGAGTCTCTATACTATTAAAAATTATAAAATGATCACTCGATTATTCATATTTTCAAACTCATCTTTTTCTATTAAAAGTTTGATTGTAGTCTGAGCTGGTAGTTAACGTATTGATTATATTCTCAAAACACTGTCATATCTCAGTCTGCATGTTAACGTCCAGCTCAAATGACCGTTAGGGTATTACTTTGTTAAGTCCCCCAACTATTAAAAGTTATATAATGGTCATTCGACTATTTATATGTTCTAAACTCGTTCTTTTCTATTGAAAAATTGACTGTAGTCTAAGTTGGTTGTTAACCTATTGATTGAGATGTGATAAAATTTGATCCCAAAATCTCAATAGTCTGTCATATCTCAATCTGCATATTAACGTCCAACTCAAACAACCGTTAGGATGAGTTTGAAATGTATGATTAGTCGGATGACTATTTTATAACTTTTAATAGATGAGGGACTCAACAAAGCAACGTTCTATAGCCGAATGAACATTCTGTAACTCTTAATAAACTCAATAAAATAACATCCTATTTTCCATAAAATAAAACCTATAGTTGGGGACCGTTTACGTAAATTGATTACGACTTAAAACAAAACAACAACAACAACATGGTTTAGGGATTTTTTTTACTTTAAACCTATTTTATTCATGTTTTCCATATTCATTTTCAATTTCCAAAATTACAATTTTTGAATTCGAATTTGTTAGGCGTGGGATTTAATGCAGCTTGAAACATGAGGTTTGATGGCTTTGCGGCCTGGAAACGTAGATTTTTACGTGAAGGGATTTAATGCACGTCGCTTTCCCTAGAAAATGCCAAGAAAATAGTATGGTAATTGAGAATTTAACCAGACAGTAGAGCAGGCGAAGATTATAAACTTCCAAAGAAAAAAGACAGACCTTAAACTTTGGCATTGAAATTTACTGATTGTCTTCTAGATACGCACCCAAAATTATCCATCACCTTTCAAGTTTTTTGCTATGCCCTCCCAAGTCTCACCAGTTATGGTTTAGGGTCTAGGCTAAAAGCAATTGAACGTTTGAGTGACCTCATTGCCATATTCTGCAGCTCCAACAGGTTAAAAATGGCTACTTATTGACAAAAAACGGAGCTTACTTTTCCATTAATAGTGGAAATTGCAGATTTACAAATTTACTCTTCAATCAAATGAAAGCCAAATAACAATCTCAGCCAAAGCTGCTCAAAGTGATGGACCTTACAAGCCTAAACATTGCTTAGCGGCGGGTGGTAAAAGTCCTCCTCTGCCCAAGTCCCCTGCTTTATAAACAGCAGAAGAAAAGATGACTCTTAAAGGTCACTTCAACATAGTGTAATCTACTACATAGGAGTACTACATTGGATGGTATATGGGGATAGTATTTGATTAAAGATGAAAGGGTTTTTTTTTTCGTCTAGCGGAATTCGCCGCCGGAGAAGGTCTGGCCAAAGGACCAGCCAGCCGGGGCAACGTTGTAGGCGACCACAGTACGGCCATCACTCGTTGTGACCTTAAATGAGAGGCTTTGCCCGTTGAGATAGTTGTTGCTCTGCCAGTTTTGACCCCAGTTTCTGGACATGGGTTGCCAGCCGGTCCTAGAACCCTTGATGGCCACAGCGTGTACGTCGCCCGCGCCGCCGACGTTGGTGATGAGGACTAGGTTGAAGTAGGAATGGCCATTGATTGTGAACCTTATGCTTCCCTTTCTTCTGCACGGAACCCTATGAATCAAAAGGAACAAAATTGAAACCCCCCTCAGTGGATAAAGTCGAAGTCTTTTAAAAGTGACGAGATGAGTTGAAAAACTGAGACAAACTCACCTTCTGTAAGAAACAGGGACAATTCCAGCTCTATACTGAGCAATGTGTTGGAAGACAGGTTGAGAAAGGTCAAAGTGTTGCAGAGGAGGGTTGCACCAGCCGCCGGCATTGTTGGGGAGAGCATTGTTGGGAGGGCAGAAATTGGTGGCCGTAACCAAAATAGAACCAGGCAAGCACCACTTGCCGTCATTGACACACTTGATCTCGTAGCACGAACCACAGCTGAGCCCATTGTTGAACAGTGCAGTGCTCAAAGCGGCGGTGTTGGTCCCATAACCCTGACTGTACAAATTTCCATAACCACAAGCTCCACCTGCAAAATAAAAGGAGAAGAGAAAATTAGTCGAATAAACCACACCGGCCCATTGTTGTAGATTTGCTTCGTTTTTTTTCGGATGCATACCCATTGTTCCTGAAGCATCGCTGCCACCATAGAAGGTAGCATGAGCATTGGTCCAACCACCGCCATATCCATGAAAAGCTGAGACCATCGAAAGTAAAGCCATGAATAGAACACCAGCAAGAGCCATTTTTCCTAGAGGTTTGAAAATATGAGCTGCGTAATGTGAGGGAGTTTAGCGATGGAGATCGGGGGAAGGGAAAGGGCCATTTTATAGAACTTTTTGGGCAGGAGGCCACCGTTTAACTTGCAACTAAAATTAACTGCCACTTAGGGACCAAAAATGAAGAAGTCAGTTTTTTTAAGGAAAAATGTTATTTCAATTTAATTGAGGTTTTATATAATTTTTAAAAAATACAATTACATTAATATTTAATATAAAAATTATTATTTTATGATTTTGTCTAACTTAATAAAGATTAATTTTATTTAAATATTTAAATAAACACATAAATGACACCGTTAATTTATGAAATAAAAATAGAAAAAATATAGAATATTATGACGAGTGAAAATAATTATTAAAACGTGGTTGGCAGTAAAGCGTCCTTTCTCCAAATATCACCCAAATATATATTATTTACTTGTGAGGTATCGTTTATTCAAATATTACCGATCTAACATTATTTGGTAGTAAAGTGCATTTGACCAAACGCTTCTTGTACAAGTGGATAGAAGGCGTGGATCTTCAAGCACGCTTTCCATCCGAGCTGGCACCACGAGGGTAGAGCACAGATCCTCAGGTGCGCCTTTCATTATTCAAAATTATTACCATGTGCTTTATCAGCCAGTCGACATTA